TCGCCCTCCTTGTTACAACTTGAACCTGTCTTTGCCTTGATATACATGGCATGTTAGAGGAAATCTCCTTTACCAATTCTCGCTGTATTCATTCTCAATAGCCTCTACAGCTATCTTCAATATGCCACTTTCTCACGAGATTTTGACTGACGATTATGTCGCCGAATTGTTGGCTAAAGAAGCCAATGACTGCTCCTTGAAGTACTCTGCAATGGGGCTAGACGCCTTCAAAGTAAACAAGTAAGTGGCCATACTCAACCTGCGACACTTTCACGGAGTTCCAAGCTAGAGTCGCGGCTTTGCCTTCAAGACGGCGGTACAATACTAACAACCGCAGGCGTCCATCGAACCAGCCCAAACCGAATACCCGGTTCCTCAACAACATCATCCGAGATACCAACAGTCACAACCGAGCGCTTCTTGCAAGGGAAAATGCCGAGGCCCAAGCAAGGCTCCATGACCTCGAAGAAGCCGATCGCCGAAAGCGAGATGAGGAACAGCGCAAAACTCAACGGTCGAGGCCGGGCCCGAGTGACACTCGGAAGCGCATGCTTGGAGATATTGCTGCCATCTTAGGTGGTCCGTCTAAGAGGCGTAAGGCCAACAATAGCGATAGAAACCCTGCAAGCACCACTTCGGACTGGAACGAGTCCGCTTCTGGAAACGACCCTGATCGAAAGAGGAAGTCCCAGGAGACCAGGCACCGAGAAAATGATATCAAGTCGGAGAACAGGAGTAGAAGAGATAACCAGTACTCTGACTCACGACGCAGCCACCGCCGTTCGCATCCGCGCGAAGAGGGGCGTCGCGATCGCAGATCTAGCTCGCCCGAAGAACGAGAAAATCGGCACCGAAGACATAAGGAACGGCCCTCTCGAGAAGACAGCGATCGCAGCCGTCACCGTGACTCCCACAAAGAAGACACACGTGCGGCCGCGTTCTCTTCGAGTAAAGATGACGAATCCGACTCCGACCCGCTCGACGATATAATTGGCCCAGCCCCTCCTTCGAAATCAACTGTTCGTCGCCGCGGGCGAGGCCTTAACTCTGCCATGTCTGGCATAGACAGTCGTTTTGCCGCGGACTATGATCCTACAATTGACGTTACCCCCGACCCTGATGAGGCTGGTGGTGACGACTGGGATAATGCGGTGGAGGCCTTCCGAGACAGACAGAAATGGAAAAAACAAGGAGCCGAGCGACTCCGCTCTGCAGGCTTTACCGAAGAGCAGATACGAAAGTGGGAGAAGGGAGATGAGAAGGATGAATCAGATGTACAGTGGAACAAGGCCGGCGGTGTGCGAGAATGGGATCGCGGGAAGGTTGCTGATCCGGAAGCTGGCGCGTCTCCCGATCCGGAATTCGGCCGATTGAAGGGTACATGAAAGTGATGGGGCTTTGGTAAGGGTTATTAAATGCATCATCTACTTTCGGCGGCATTAGTCATTTGTAATGGCGTTGGGTTGGGCAATTTAGGTTTGGCCTGCATCATATGGCGTTTCCAATGCATTTCCAGGGAAATGGCGTCTTGGTGGCATGAAATCGAGGTACGTCTCAACTTCATAACTAGTATATACAATGCTTATTGTCCGCTTTCTGGATTACATCGTAGTTATTCACGCTAAGTCTATAAACAAGGTGCTATAAAATCGTCGTCCTATGAGTCGCCAAAAAGTCGTTGCAGACCAAAGCTGGAAGCTGAACTAGCGGCGGGCGAGGCAAACATTTGTCTCAACCCGTAATCGGAGGCTGCACTAGCGGCGGGTGAGGCGAACAATCTTTCCAGCCCGTAGTCCGAGGAAGCTGCACTGGCGGCCGGCGAGGCAAACAATTGTCGCAGCCCGTAATCTGAGGAAGCTGGAGCTGAACTGGCGCGTGGCGAGCTGAACAGCCGCGGCAGGCCATAGTTTGAAGAAGCTGAACTGGCGGCTGGCGAGCCATATAATTGTTGTAGCCCGTAATCCGAGAAGGAGTTACAACTTGGCGAGGCTGGACAGGACCGGCGGAAAAGACCTCGGAGGCCCATACTGGAGCCCGAGGTCAACCTATATCCTCTGAGACTGCGGCTCCTCTGTCTTTTTCCCTGTATGCTTGAGTCGCGAGATGGCGCCAACGTTGCTGGTGCTGATCCCACCGTTAACAAGTTCGGGTTTCGCCAGCCTATCATTCTTTGCCCTACACCGCTGCTTGGTGTAGGCGGCTCGCTCGGCTCCTGCAGGAAAGGGCCTAAAAATGTACGGGTAGCAACGAAGATTCCTGAACTCCGGCTGCGGGAGCGAATGCGTGGGCGGTTTCCGGTCCTAGTATTCGCTCGGGTACGTCTTCGTGGACTTGGTTCATCCGAATCCGAAGCGGACTCTGCTATGGCAGCGAATCGTCTTCTGACAGGTCCCAACAACACAAAATGACGCGAAAGAGCTGGCGATCTGCCACCATGCATAAAAGGCATGAAAAGGTGTCGTCTCCTCATCCGACCCCATCTTCTAGCCCGGCGCTGGCGGAAGGGCTGGCCCCTTCTCCCCCTGCTTATACTTTGATGGTGCTGGTGGCGGTTATGGGTTCTAGAAGTTCTTCTTACATGCGACGATGAATACGCGCTTCTTTCGTGTGACACATTTAGCCGCCTGACGATACACACCGCCTCACCTACAGCTTTCAGCCAGCGTGCTAATTTTCTACGTAAAGATGCGAAGAACTTCGGCGCTGAACTTTCATGCTGACTCTTTTGGCGTCGATGGTGCCGGTGATTCCGTCTAACCGAGCGGCGATGTTTACGTTGAGGTCTATGATGGTGTCTATGATGGTGCCTGTGGTGATGCCTGTAGTGATGCCTGTGGCGATGTTCATGTTGATCCTTGCTTTCTTGCCGGCTATCTTTACGAGAGGTAGCATTCCCCTGCGCAGCCTGATTTGGCGCCAGGCTTGGTGGCGCTGAGTTTGCACGCTTTCGAGGTGGTTTGGATCTTTTTTTGGCCCATGCACCTTTGGTTTTCCTCGGGGCATCATCATCTTCTTTCTTGTCGTCCCCACCGTCCTTCCCGTCCTTCCCGTCCTTCCCATCCTTCTTCTTGTCTTTTTCTTTTTCTATTATTGAGTATGGATTGTACACTGAGGGAGGATCGTACAGCATGTCGAACTCCATCATATCCGTCGGCACGGACTCGTCATCACCGTACGAGTCTTGGCTCGGCGGTGGGGCAGGCGGATCGGGGGTGAGTGGCTTGTTAGGGGCGGGTTTCTTTTTTGAACCGTTATGATCATCCGGGTCGGCAGATTTGGCGTTAGCATCCTTGGCGTTGGTATCTTTGGCGTTGGTGTCTTTGGTGTCGGCATCTTTGGCGGGTTGGATCTGGAACCCGAGCCTCGCTGCTGCGAGCTTCTCGTTGTGGTTTTTTCCGTGTTGTTGCAGTGCCTCGGCAACTGCTGTCGGAATCGCGTGCGCATGGTTTACGCTTGATGGAATATGACGTGGGATATCTCGCAGAAGTATTGGACGTTGATGCCGTGTGCGTGGGGGTGGATAATACCAAAATGGGTGCATGCTGCTACTATTTCGACTGGACATGGTTGGGAATTTACTAGACCTTCAGAAATGTGTAGTTAAGTTGGTGGATCTATGCTACAGAAGATAAAGGAGGAAGAAAGTCTAAGCTTGTATGAAAACTAAGAACTATACAATCCAGATACATAGTCCATCATTCTGTGAATCTTTTTCCACATAATAGGCCCTCTATATTCAGTCATTTGATCATTCTTCGTTACTATACTCCAGTATATGGTGTCCCTGTGGATAGGATATATGGTTTGATATACAAAATGTCAATCAATCAACCATTCTCAATCACTGAGAGAGAACGTTGCACAACGCACGGTAATCGCATTAGGATTTAGGGTTTTTCTGTATTTCAATTTTCTCCTGACTTTTGTATCATCGACCTACCGTTATTTAAGATCTGATCATACGAGTGAGTACAGGTTAGAAGTGCGGTGTCCGGTGAAGCACCGCCGATTCAAGCAACGGAAGGCGTTTGTCAGCATATCTCGCAGGATAGATATGGCAACGATCCTACATAGCAGGAGGGAAAAGACGGGTCTCTAAGGAAATCTGTTCACAACTAGAAAAAGCATAGTAAGCATTGTGGTTAAATTTAATGGCAATTAGATATATACGATCAGGCAAATTAATTCAGGATATGGCCCTTTTAGAGCATTTCATTTGCACACGATGCTTGAGTATTTGTAGATTATTATACCGCCTGAATTTTATAATCCAGCGTGCACCCATAAATGAGATTCAAGTTGTTAAATTTCCCTTCAGTTCTATCTGACTGCTGTGTATTAGGCACAATGTAGGCTGTTGATGTAGCCATTTTAGCTATATACATATACCTTAGAGCCTCTTTTGAAACTTAAACGGTTCAAGAATCGATGGAGAACTCTATTAAGCCTTATACTACTACCTAATACCTTATTAAAAAGACGCTTCTGTTCGTTCTCTGACCCTTTCTACTCACTTACCGATTTGGTGTAAAGGCTGTTCTTCAAGTTCTAATAAAAGAACTAGCGATTAAATTTATCTTCGAGTTTCCAATACTATGGTTAAGAAAACGATGAATAAACAGAGAAATATCCTCTCGCACGGTTATGAGGCAGAATACCATCTTTACTTTTATCTCAGACCTTAACAAAAATATTAGTCGTCCAATAGTATGAATGAGAGGATGCTCCCTAAAAAGTTGCTAGCTATACGAGAAAACTATCCTTTCGATTATGAGATAGTAATATATAAAATGTTCGAAAAGTTAAAGCGCGGACGGTCTGTAACCCACTCCCGTATCTCGTACGATCGAGAGTTCTTTCTTTCTTTCTTTCTTTTCCCTTGTTTTTCTTGCTTAACCTACCTACCTCGGTCCTTTGCGACTATTCTCTTTTAGATTCCTGCCGGAATTGTTGTTAATGAGTTATGATTTGCACGCAACTTCCCATCATCCAATTGGAAGTCTTGATTGGTCTAGTGGTTAGGATACCTGCTTGTCATTTGATAAGGACGAGCCGCAGGTGGCCGGGGTTCGATTCCCCGATCGAGAGCACTTTCTTGTATTATTTTGATGTCGACTTTTTTATTTAAAGATTCTTAGCCTCGGGGGGGTTTCTTTTTGTAAAGATAAATGAACTGGGTGAACTGGCTCGGGAGCTCTTCCTTTTACTGCATTCTGAAGTACGATGCGTAGGGTAGGAGACGTAGGAATGGTTTTTCCTCTCTGCTAGTATCCACAACGCTAGATGGATTAGAAGTCTGAGGGCTACCCCAAGGAGTTGACAAATGTTCTTCAAGCATCAATACAAACTCAGAGGCTCGTCAATGCAGGCACGGACATAGTGGCAGCTTGCTAGCGTTGACCCACTCCGGAATTCGCTGCTGCTTTTGAAGCAGAATCGGATCTCTTGCGTAATAAATAGAAGAAGGAAGCACTAGTAGCCGCAGCAGTGGAATCACCCCCTTAACAGTCAAGCTGTTAGCGGTTTTTGGCATTCAGGGGAGTCTTGGTGCGAACCTGCAATCGTGAAAAACATGGCTTCCGTCCAGAGATCAAGTTATCGCATGTGTTCCGACTCAGCGTTGAGAGCGTCTGAAACATGTGCGTAGAATTCCTCGGGCAAGACGAGTACCAATCATAGTCTGCAACAAGCTAGTGAACTAGTCCCATGAAGCGTACAAGAAACGGCCAACAGCTTAGTGTAGGTGCGTTTTGTGGATGAAAGGGAACCGCATATTAATGTTGCGGCGGTGGTTCCCCAGAGTGATAGCGTTGATAAGAAAGCGGCTGGTCTCGTCCGTCTGGAGGCGGAGGTCGTAACCAAATGAAAGATGACCCACGATATTTAAGCCCAAGCGTTTACTCTCTTCTGTTATGTTAATGGGACCTGATGGAGATGACAGCAGCTATTTCACGAAGATGTCCACTTAGCTGGAAAGGATGGGCTCGAAGGCAACAAGATTGCGCTTGGTGCGGTGCAAGTCTATATTGATAGAGTTGAAGACATTGAAGACATTGGGAGCGGACTGCGAGACCAGATAGGAGTCTGCCTCGGTGACTTTATCATTTCGATATATGTCTGAACTTCATTAGACATAATGTATGGAAAGGCGATTTAGCCTTGGGTGAACAGTGCCTCGTAAAGCAGTAGCAGAGTTGAACACGAGCTTGTCAGCGGCCGTGGTGCATAGCAGGGCCCACAAGAGTCACTTGGTGAGGTGCTGAACATATTCATCTTCGGAGTTCAGGTTTGACTTACCGTACTTTTGATGGTCCTGAAGGGTAGGTAGTGAGGTGAAGGCGTCGTCTGAAGGCATAGAAGTCAGCAAAGTTGGCTAAGCCTGATGACAAGGGCTATGCACCCAATAAAAACACTGCGTTTAGCAGCACTCCTAGTTTGGTATGGGTGGTATTTTACAGATAACGGAAATAGCGGAGATCACATTCATCCATCCATTGAGTTTGTATGCCTTTCTTGTTAATAGTGGGCCCATCAGAGCCTCAGATCCCTGTTGCTGTCGAAAGGATGAATACCTAGGTAGGTAGTAATCAAGGTGTTTTATGTACATATACACATATACAGGTCAATCCCCGAAATAACGTTATTTTGTTCCTGAAATTAATGCGGTAACTCCTTTTTTTCTGTTATCACACCCGTTTATTCGTACTAAACAATGCGATTTAAGAAGACAAGAAAGATGAAACGTATAATAACATTCTATAGATGTATACGTATCCATAGGCTTGTAAGTCAATTCAAGGATCAGGAAATATCGTTATCTCAGGGGGATATACCTATACGAGCAGAATGCGAGTACGACAGTTGAAATTTGCATCTTGGTTGCTATAAATAGGCCCTGCCAAGCTTTGATCGTTAGCACAGCCGTGTCTCACTGTCTGAGGTAGTTTCACCGTAATCGACATTCTATTCCCCAACCGACATTTGTCCCTCTCCCATTCTATCATTGATGTTGTCTAGCTGCGAGAGCTTTCATCAACTCCGCACATGCATTGAATTTACCCCCGCAACCTGTAGCGCCCACGTCTCTATCAGTTAGCTTCCCACACTATTTAAGCCCTAGGTACCCGATGGCAAACGCAGCCACCCTGTTGTCTTGTCACCGAGGGAGGTGGAATGTTATAAAGCTTTGCCTGCGATGTATCAGTTTCGTCCTGAGTATCCTTATAATCGGCTTGTCTGTTAACGAAGGGATTCGCAAGCGGTCTTGGTACGAATCTCACCCCGGCGGGTCTCCGTTCGGTTATGCATGGTGGTTTTGTCTGCCAATTGTCAGTCACCATTCCCCCTAGGTGTTTTCTAACTTTACATGAAGACTTACTCTATTATGTAGACGCTCCTCAGCATCTCCCTTGATGGCTACGAGTTGACGTCCACCGTCATCAGGAAGCGGAGCCCGGGGATTCATCCAGGCTGGCACGTTGGCGTAGAGATTGTTCTTTTGGGCGGAAATATTGTCGCCCTCATCTTCATATCGTCCCAATTTTCGGAATTTGCGAATTGGGATGTATATGTATATGGCCAGTCCTATTTTCCCCCTATATCTTTACGACCCCTCAAAATAGCCATAGTAGCCGTTGTAGGAGTCTTCACGTAAGTAGATACAATCGCCTTATTCCGTCATGGATACTAATATTAGGATTTAGTCTCATACGCTTCATTCTCTTCATATTCGCTTGTGTAGACACGGAGAGATATCTCACCACTGCTCGAGTCGAACTAATAGTACAAGTACTACGTCAACAAAATATTAACGGTGACCCTGCAGCGGCTCCCATTATTAACAATTCAATTCATCCTCAAGTGACCCAACACAGAAATCAAGCATACTATGACAAACCTACCTCCTTAGAAGGACCCCCTCATACCATATGGTCTCCAACACAGCTTAGTAGCGAGCCTGCGTTTTATCCCGAATTGCCAGAAAATACGAAGTTTCTCGCAGCTCAAATGCCTCGACTACCTCGCAGACGCTACTCCCGATGACTCTATTTTCAATCATCGATCTCTCTTGCTCTTGTCTGCTCAGGTTGAGGTTGGAACTTGTCCAAGCGCTGTGCTTGAAGTTTTCAACTGAATTCCTTGGGGACCTCTCATTCCCCACGTGGCTTCTGATCAGGACCAAGTCCAACAATGCCTTGGCATACAGTGTTAGTGCGGCGAAACCTAGTCGATAAATGGCACACTTAACTACTATACAAAGGAGCTTGACTGCCTATCGAGAAGCTAACACCAGCCAAAACCAAGTAATTTGACCTCCTGTTCCGCTACAAACGTCAATAACAGCAGCGATAACGTCGGCGTCGCAAACTAGAGTGCCAAGCACTCCAATTAACTCAGCGCCGGGAATGCAGTACATATTGCATAAAGGTACGAATGATTCCGTGATCCTTAATTGTCTCCAATCTACTTTCCTTATTCGGCATGATAACTGGACGACGGTCTCAAAAGTCACCCACGGCCTAAGTCTTTTAAGTTGCTGATAGATCTATGTTCCACTGGCGAAGGGTTCCTACACGTCTTTCTGATCTGTTACATGAAGTCTTGACGTCTATAATTAGCCCTTCAGTACAATTTGCTAACTGTCTGAACAGTGATACGTCAGGACGTTGAGCCGTATTATGTACAATGGTCTTCGGCAAAATTGGGGCGCCACCTCTCGTTCCGTCGAAAGATAACAAAGTCGACATTCGAAGCGCGGCTCTAGGTGTAGTTGGCTTGATTGCCTAGGGTTCTGGTGTGCGTTCTCGTTCTTGAACTGTTTAGAGGCGAGGCATGTACCACGTGTTTCACAGCTTTACTCCTTAAACGGCTCCCATTTATTTTCTGCAAAACTTAGTCAATTTTAGAAAGTTCCCTCACAATGAGGAAGAATACAAATACGAAGACGCCTGAAGCACACACTACCCCTAGGATACCTAGACCCATAGTAACTATCAGATTTCTGTCGATAGACTTCATTTTCGGTTGCTGCTCACGCATTTTCTACCATTTGCATGAGATATAGAACGATAATGAGTAAGCTCTATCAGGAGCGTAGCATACTTAATATCACTCACCCCATGCGGAAAGTTTGATCAGATAAGAGTCACATTCCTCCTCCCGAATGAGACGCCAAAACGCATATTACTACCTCTATGCAGATTAATGTACAAAGGATTCGATGCAAGCCGTCGCGGGGAGTGGGTGTCTTTTCGCCGCGCGAGCCTATCTATCATATATTTTGAATGTGGGTGATAGCACACAAGCTCAATACCGCTAGGGCAGATTGCCAGAACAGCTGACAGTATTATTTGACTCCCCCCTGTGCCAGCGAAAACAAGAACATAGCGTAACTGAAGGTTCAACACCAAAGTCCGTTCTTAAGTAGGGCGTTATGGCTATAAGAAGTAAACCATCTCAGGCAAGACGAAGTATAATGACGTCTTATTGGTACCGTGACTCGAAGAAGTCGACATGAAACGGTGGTTGATTTGGCCACAACCACCGTCAATTCCATCCGAGAGACAAACGAAAATCCCATAGAACCAGCCTAATCCACTAAATGATAGGAATAAGCACCTGGCAACATGAAGTAAAAGGGGTGGATTTGGTTAAATAGTCGATACAAGCATCTTGACACCGATCGTCACCCCTTGGCCCCTCACTACCAGTTATTGCCCTTCTTAGAAGCCATTACAGATATTTAAGAACAGTTTCATCTCCATTTCCATAACAAATGTAGCCCGATCTCTTGAATGCTTTAAACAGCCGACATGACAGCTAGATCGCCTGTACGCCAGACGTTGTCGACCGTGATGTGCTGAACAAGCCAGACATGGCCAGATCTCACAAGTTCGACTTTGTACCGGTTTTTCATGAGATAGTGACGGGAGGGGTCGTTCCGAGGCAAGTGTTGCGCCTCCACCATCGCTTCCAGATCTGCCTTGTCGCCGTCAACGGTTACCCGCGGGTTACTCAAGGAATGAGTGGTGTCTAGTTGGGCGAGTGAGCTTGATAGTGCTGCGGCGATATTGGCCCTGCCTTGCAAC